CAAATGTACAAACCAAATTTAGGAATTTCACAGCAAAACTGTTCCTTTAAGTCTTACTAAGTATTGATGAACCATCTGATCAGACTTTTGCATTTTGTTGCATAATATTTTTCTTCCAATTGGTCCTGATACATTTCCTTGTTATCATACCCGAGGACATCAAGGTAAAATGGAAAATCCTAGGATGAAAAATCTATACTAATCCACGCACTTCAGGTTACCTCTTACCAGCTGACATCCCCTTCATCACTTGGCACCAGTATAAAGATTGGTCCTCTTGCCGTGACAGCACCTGACACGTGTGTGTTTAGTGTTATTTACTTGTGCACATATTTCACACCTAAGTATACTGAGATGAACTCATTATTGAACCAAGATACTAAATCATAACTTGTGTATATTGCAAATGGAGAAAATAAAATCTCACAGTTCATTTTTATTTTTGAGACAACTATAATGATGGAAATGTTTTATCTAAGATATGATTTAGCATCTCAAACATTTCAATTGCTGATTTAACATCAGGAATATTGCATAATGATGTCAATTTGTAATTATGATATATATAAATGTCATATATCTTACCATTAATTAAAACCATCTGACATCAACAATTAAGTTTCTTGTGAACATTTTTCACCGATACATTTATGTATTTTCAGATGGTATATAACTTTGGAATATAGAAATTCTGGCACAAAATACGGCCAATTCCTCATCAGTGTTCATAAAGTGTGAACAATGCTACTAGGCTTTGTTACCCTTGAGGTGTTTTATTTGGTGTCAATCAAACTCACTGTCTCTCATTTCTTTTTATAGCGTTTATACCAGTTAAAGGGTTACTTTAATCCAAAATTTCACTACTATACCTTGAATGCTGTGTTCAATTCGGGTACAAATTATAAAACTTTCATTTGTAATCTGAAGTTGCACAGCATGGCTGTTCTCAATCTGGCCTGTTCCTTTGATGGTAGCTGCTACCAGTTGTTGAACTTGTGACATCACAGCTGATAGGGTTCCATTCCATGCCAGTCACCCTTAGGCTGAATACTAGTAAAAGGACAGTTGAAAATCGCACACTTTACATGTCAGTATTTCAGTATTGGGCCAGCTGATTTTTATGCATTTTTTCAACCTTCCGGAGTTTGGATCATAAATGATAATACTATTTCCATTCCTGTTTTCATTTGGGGTACACTTTAATGCACATTTTTACATGCCAAACATCTTCCTGGTTATGATAAACTAACCCTTCAATCCTTCTGTTGATACCAGTGTTTTGCCCTCTGTCAAGTGAATAAAAGTCTACCATAAATAATAGGCCACAATGTTTTGGTGTTGGAAGTGGAAGTTGAAACATGCATATCACATCTTATCTGAAAGTATCACTTTTTATGACTCATTTCTGATTTGAATTAACAAGCGAGTTGTAGACATATAAAAAAGTAACTTTATTTGAATAGTTTGTGTTATAAAAAGCAGTTTACCAATATGGTCCATTTCAGAAACAAGATGCCCATGGGCCTTTATGATCACCTAAAGTCCCCTCATGGTTATTGAGGAGAATTTGTATTTTGACACCTATGACCTTGAATTTAAGTCAAGGTCATTCATTTGAACAAACTTCATAGCCCTTCATCCTAAAATGCTACAGACCCAATATTAGGTCTCTGGGCCTCTCAGTTAATGAGAAGAAGTTGTTTAAAGATTTTAAAACATTTGACCTCCGTGACCTTGAAAGTAAGTCAAGGTCATTCATTTGAACAAATATGGTAGTCCTTCATCCTAGCATACTACCGGCCCTATATCATGACCCTGAGCCATTTGGATATTGAGAAGAAGTCAATTAAAGATTTCAACACATCTGACCCCTGTGACCTTAAAAGTACGTCAAGGTCATTGATTTGAACTGGCCTTTTAGTTACGCCGGACAAAAGGTGTTCGCGATAGGTCACATGAGACTTCATCTCAGGTGACCTTAAAAGAAGGACCAAATAAGAAAAACTTGAATCTAACCGTTTAGAAAACGTGGCAATATAAAACAGATATCCACCATTTTCCCAACCATATTTTATATATCATTTTTCATGAAAATGTCATTCCCTTTGATATGTTGATTTTCTGTAATATATGTGTACTTCTGGGTCACTTTAAGTCCACTCAGGCGTCTCTATGATTTAGCGATCATCAAAAACGGATATCAGTTATTTCAAGTGAGCGAATTTGATGTCGTATCTGTGGGGATTTATGAAAAAAATGGCGTGTCCTGCCATCCTCCCCTACCCTGTTTTTTCATAATAACTCTTATAATTTGAATTTATTTAATTTCATTTATATATTGTTTGGTTGCAATTCATCGACGTAGCGTAGCTAGCGCGATACGTTCTGCAGGGGTCCGAAACTAATGCGCGAAGGATACGGTAGGCTACATTACTTTTTTTTTTTTGAGCTTAACGTCCTTGTTCCGGTTATAACCGAGCCTAGGACACAAAAATCTACATTACTTCGTCTTCATCGGCGTTTTCATTCCGATCGAGTACCTGTCCTTCACAACCCATTTACAGAATTAAAAAATCAACTGTACTTACCACTTCACAAAGCTGTTTCAAGTCAAAATGTTCTGTCATCAACTCTAGATTCCCCATGCATTTGAGCCAGGTTTCTCTCACAGCCTACATATTTTTGAATGTTTGGTCTCAATAAATTTGCAGAAAAGATCGTCACATAACGATGAAACCCCTTTAGTGATTGGTCACTTGTCTATCCCAAGTGACAATACCATACTGAGGCGTCTGTGTTGAGGCACAGATTAAGTGGATTTTTGGCGGTAGGAGAATGGAGCAATGCGTGTCTGTTTTGGCACAAGTGAAATGTTTTTTGAGTATTAACAGTGTATTGTCTGTTTCGGTTCAATATCCTGAATTTCTGTATGTTTAAGTGCAAAGAATATTGACTGTCTGTCACCAGTGGAAGGTCTTCTATATATTAGCTGATGTTATTACCTGTGCATATTCCTGTAAGTGGTAATACTTAGAAAGAATCTGAAGTAAAATGACCTGTACTGGGTGGCTGGGGTGTTCACATGATACAAAGACATTGTCTAACGCGATCGATAATGCGCTTTCAGGTCAACAAGACTGATCGCAAGACAAAATTGTTGTTTCTGACATTGTTATAAGTAAATCATTATTTAATCATACAGCGTAAGTATTCTCTCTCATTAACATATGTATGTGTTGTAAATAGTCAGCGTATGATAGAAATCTGAGTATAGTGTTAAGTCCCCGTTGTAATGTTAAAGGTATTTTAAGCTATAACTTATACCTGTCTGACCGTTATTAACGGGTGTTTTCAGCAAGACCAGCGGTAACGTGACTGTTTCTGTCATACATTTACACTAGGTAATCTAACACGTCATGTTAACATATGTGATATTTAGAGAATTATAATCTTTAAACCACTCTGCGTATAAAAAACCAAATGTTGGATGAAAAACCTGTCTAAACAGACTAGGATACTCCCAACATTCTCCGAAACTGATATCAAACTCAGATCCTTGTGGTTGACAAGTTACATTTTTGACGCTATTGAACACCAATCTAAACAATCTGTATTAATTTCGTTTTAGCTCTTTGGACAAGAGATTTCATAAAAGTTTCTATGTATGCGCGTAATGGTACTTCTAGTTTTTTATCTGCTTTATTTTTGCTCATTTTTCGTAGACACATACATAAACAAGACACATCCACATGTACAGTATGTACCTTATAACTGATTATCATCCTTATATCTCATCATATTGTTCATTACGATATCGAAATGTTCTTATAACCGAACTATCATATCTTTTCAAAATACGATATTTCGTGTGTCCAAGAAAAGGTCTAGAGTGATATCGCAAGTAATGTTTTAGCTGAAATATGTTTTTTCGGCAATATTTCTCAAGTGTATACCATATTTCAGAAAAAGCAATGCGTTGTTGGGTGTCGTTACATTAAATACTTATGAAGTGAGCGGAAACGACTGTCTCAATTGTTTCAGTGCGACATAAAATTAAGGTCTATTCAGTAATAACTTGGAATGACTGTACCTGCCATTTTCAATTGGTATTGGAACGGACCTTTCCCAATTAAATTTAACAAATTAGTAGGCGAGCTGAAACCATAAACATTGGGCAGCAAATAGAAGAAAATGTCATAATTTATATTCTTCGAAATATCTGAAGTATATGACGTATTCGTGACCTAATATAACCACTAATATATATTTATGTCCCGATGCCATAAAATCGAATGATATATATAACACTGCATACATAACAGCGAGTAACGTGCGAGAAATAAATGTTACTGGAAACGCATTTAATTCCATCGTGATCTGATCTATTGTCCGCATGATATGTTCGAGGGAGGTTACACTGATCTATCACGAAAAGTAAGAAATGTAAAGAAGTCACGGACTCTCCCGTAGGGATTATTGTGATATTTGAAAAGATGTGGGTGAATGAATTCCATCGTAATTGACAGATTCGTGATCAAACAATTCTTGTTTATTTGAAAACGTCTGTCCGCTTTCTTTTCTTATATTGTGGCATGTGAATTAATGGCGTGGTATTTGTTGTTAGGACCTTGACCATAATCACAGAGGCACGTTTCGTCCTCTGAGAAAGTCGTGGCTTGGTTGTAACACCTTTGACCGTGTGTAGTAAAAATTTAGGTCACAAAGTTCCATATTTGGCAAACTGATTAATTATTCATGAGACGAACAACACACCTGTTCCATATAAGGAAGTGCGTCATGAAATATTGATAACGTCATTTGCATAATAAGCAGATCATTCGGCTGTTTCCGGTGACGTAGTGCAAACATCGGAGGGCCGAAGACGAGGATCTCCTTATAAGGTAATATTCGGAGAACATCGTGCCTCGGAAATATTTCGTGCGACCAATCAGATTACTCGGGTGTTTACGCCATCACTTCGGTATTGTTGTGATCTAGAAATGAATGAAGTGACTTCAGACAGCATGCTGTCATTCGTTACGAACACGTTGTGTTGTGAAGTCGGGACTAGTGTACCGAGAACTATGCCTCGTGTGGTTCCCGATCAGAGATCAACATTTGAAAATGAAGAACTATTTAGAAAACTTAGTCGTGAATGTGAGGTTAGTGTTGATTTCACAACTTTTGCCATGAGGAAGTTGCCAAGTTTTCTATCGGGTCACACATGACGAAGTTTCCTTACTTTCGTAAACACGTTGTTTTTACTTTATAATTCGTCCTCGGAAGTTTTCCAATTCAAGGATTATAATTCTGGTGTTCTTATAATGGAAGCTGTTTTGTGTTTTCTATTAATCCTGGATTTAATCTTCTGTTCTAGGTGAAATACACTGGATTTAGAGACCGACCCCCAGAGGAGCGGCAGTTACGATTTCAGACTGAATGTAGGGAAGGGCATGCGGCCTTGGTAAGTAGCGGATCTAATACACACACTCGCCGTAACTCGCAGTTAACCTGCCGCTTAGACCGTGACAATAATCGGAGTGCAGGTAGCTTGTTTATATTAGGACAGTTTTATCCTCTAGGCATTATGTTTGTTCGTTAAAGTATTTGTTTTTAAAGTTATATAATCAGTTGGAAGTACGCGCACGTGTGATCGTGACGTGAAAATTAATGAGTGTTTACGTATAAAATTTGAATACATTTTGTTAGAAGACAACGGACGGATTGTCTTATTGTGTGCTTTACCTATAAAAACCTGAATTATGCTATTTTACATTAATGACAATTTTCCTCACATCTGTTTTTAAATGGAATCTATTTTGTGACGTAGGACCTGTTAACTTGCAGCAAAATTCAAAACAGCCAGATATTTACCATTTCCTAATGAATAATAAACACTCAATGAAATATTGAAATTAAACAGAAGCTATCAATTTTGGAAAAAAATATATCGGGTGTCATTTTCAATGCAATAAGTGTTATTCATTAAAAAAATTAATGTGCACATGAAATATGAATCAGATTTACTAAAAAAAATTCACTCAATTTACTGAGTGAGTAATTTGACAGTAAATGGTATTGCATTGGTTTGCTTTTTTTTACCTTTTTGAATCGAAATTTCCTCATTCAAAATTGAAAAGAATATGTATAACATAAAAATTTCTTGACGAAATACTTGCTGTTTGCTCAGCGTTTCTTAGCGGAAGGGAAATAACTCCTACAATCTAAAGTCGTAAAGGATGTATTAAGAGATTAGTAAATCGCTACATTACATACATATTTCCAATATGTCTTTGTTTTCATTACAAAAATACTACATTATTGAATGTGTCCTGATATTAACATAAAAGCTGGTAAACCAGTGACTTGATTTTATGTGATAACGATATTTCTGGAATTACCTATATAAATGGAGTAATTCAAGCCTTCCTGTATCATGTTGTGTTTTAATTTATATTAAGTTTTATAAAACAAGGTTGTAAATGAGAGTTGAAACATCGCTGAAAATTGTATTTTTATTTTACATTAAAAGCTTTCTTTCAGAAGTTTCTTTTAATAATCACATTTGTTTTTGCGCAATCAATGCTAATGTGCTTTTTTGCCATACAGGCTTTTGTTTGTACGGGAACAAATCTTCAGCTTAGTTTTTCATCAAATGCTTGGTCTGACAAGGATGAAGACAGAGTAACAACGCGGGAATTTGTAGATTTTGAAAGAGAAGTTGGAAAGGTAGGATAAAACTTTGAAGATTTTTTTTATTGAAAAATTGTGCTTTGTCAGTTTTCTCACATAAATTAAACACAAACATTAAAAAAAACATCAATTATGTCATCTTCTACAACATTAAATAATCATAAAACAGAAACATAAATACAGCTGTAATTGAATTCATATACTTGAAAGCCAACCTTGATATGGTCACAGAATTTGAGTATTGCAAATTTGAATTATTTCCTCTTGTAAAAAAATCTGTTATGCCACCTCATTTTGGGTGTGTTGATTTCTACAATTAATAGTTACATGCTATAAATTATAATAAGTTTTGATTATCACATTTGTGTAGATTATTTAATGTGATGCAGAAGTGACTTCAGGTACATATATACAGTAAAACATCCATTTTACAAGTACACAATGTAATTTCAGCACTGATTTGATTTAACCATTTTAATAATTAATTTCATGTTTTCATTTCTATTATTTTTGACCTTCTTTCAGTGAAAAAGTATATGTGGTTTTTCTAATTAAAATAATTCTAGAAACTGAATTACTAAAAACTAGAAACTGAATTACTAAAAACTAGAAACTGAATTACTAAAAACTAGAAACTGAATTACTAAAAACTAGAAACTGAATTACTAAAAACTAGAAACTGAATTACTAGCAACTAGAAAGTAAATTATTGAAAAACAAAATTACTGAAAACTAGAAACTGAATTACTAAAAACTAGACACTGAATTACTAAAAACTAGAAACTGAATTACTAGCAACTAGAAAGTAAATTATTGAAAAACAAAATTACTGAAAACTAGAAACTGAATTACTAAAAACTAGAAACTGAATTACTAAAAACTAGAAACTGAATTACTAGCAACTAGAAAGTAAATTATTGAAAAACAAAATTACTGAAAACTAGAAACTGAATTACTAAAAACTAGAAACTGAATTACTAAAAACTAGAAACTGAATTACTAAAAACTAGAAACTGAATTACTAAAAACTAGAAACTGAATTACTAGCAACTAGAAAGTAAATTATTGAAAAACAAAATTACTGAAAACTAGAAACTGAATTACTAAAAACTAGAAACTGAATTACTAAAAACTAGAAACTGAATTACTAGCAACTAGAAAGTAAATTATTGAAAAACAAAATTACTGAAAACTAGAAACTGAATTAATTCCTTTGAAATTGTTTATAATAAAACTTTTTTGATATCTTATCATCTTCACTCAAGTTAGTGCTTTTTCTACAAATTGAGTCTTACTTTACTCGAAAATTAATATTTGCTTTGCTTTTTTCAGATTCTAATATATATCTTAAGTGTTTATGAAGTGTTCATTAAAGTATTGAATAATTAGTGAATAATTGATTAAATTAATTGTAGAACCTGTCTTAATTTCTTCTGTTATATTAAATATACTATGAAGTACAAATTTGTAAAATGTGTTGCAATGAAATTTGGTAAATAAATTTCTTAGAACATTCATAGAACTCTAGACAGCAAAACTAGATGAAAACCAAAGTGATCAGAGTTAAAGTACTAAATCTACAAAAAGGTATGAAATTAGGTTGCTTAACATATAATATCATACACATAGAAATACCATGTCAATTAACATCTGTATATTATAGAAATATTGTTTTAGGTATTTCAGAATAATTTTTTTTTAAATACAAGGTGTTAATCATTACTTACTATCACTTAATAAGATGGACATTTCTGAGACATGACAATTTGCAAGATTTTTTCTATAATAGTGTGTGTAACAATATATTGTAATACCTTAATGAATTTTGATAAATTATATTTATCAATTAGCAAATCCAGTGTAAAAGAAAACAATAAAACAAATACGATACAGTATTTACTACTGAAGTTAACAACCCACAGATGATTATTACTGCACATGTATCTAAATTTAAGAACCAGATATCATATATTTGTTTGACAAGTGCTGATTTCATTTTAAAACTTTATGGGACACATAAGAGGAGCAGAAATGTCCCAGTCTTAATCATCAGTTCTAATGAGCAAACATATTTGTTAACTTCCTGTAATTTTTATGGGGGAGAATGTGAATGTTCAAAACTTTTAGGTTTCAAAAAGTGCATTTATGTACTTTTTTGATAGCTTAAAAAACAAAGTTCAAGCTACATTTTCTGATGGAAAATTATCTTCTGAATTTATGAACAGTTAAATAGAAATGGTAATAAAATGAGTATACTGAGTTCTCCACTAAATAGGGAGAGTTGGCAAGTATATATAAAAAATCCCCAAACTACTAGCCTCCATATACAGCTCATATTTTCCAGTATAGCTTATAACCCATCACCTACTCTGATAGCCTGTTCAAAATTGAATAAGGCATGTGATTAAGATGCAAATCACATGATGCAGTAAATGTAGGTTAGAAATTCACACAAGTGGAAAATATGGGAATATATTTATATATCAATGACACATATATTTAAAACTGGTGTGTCCCATCGATGAAATATTTACGAGATACAGCTATTGTTTTGTGTGTTGTATGATTACAATTGTTACTGTAGAATCATGGTGAACAATTCAGTGATTATGAGACAATTTCTCTAAATTCAATTTAGTAAATGCATGTACAGTGTCATACAATCTTCAAGTATTCTCAAATGGATTTTTTCTTTAATATTTTCTTGGGAATTTTGAAAGATTTCACCTTCGGAATTTTGAAAATATCGTAATTATTGCCAAGTGGTAGAATAAACATCGGATAATTTTAACTGCTATCAGATGTATATCACTGTATCTGTAATGAAATTGAAGGATGAAATAGAATTATTTCCATAAGCATGTGTAATCATTGAAATATGTATTCCTAAGTACATGACTTAGCAAATAAATTACAAGTATGCTGGGAAATGATGATTTAAGGAAAAAGATGTACTTCAAATTTTAATCATGTATGCAACCTTCTGACTCACATATTTCATTTGCATGTTGAGATATGGATAAAATGTAATGCTTTTCAAATATATGAAGTCAGTTTACATTCTGAATTTGATTATTGTATCTCTAGTATTTAACTGGGTAAGGTTTAGCATGGGATTTCACCCTTTCAGTCAATTCTTGTCTTGTCTGGCCATGTTTGAAGTGCATGAAGTGGAGGGGGAAGGGGGAGGAAAAGAGACAAGATCATATGATGTGATTCCACATACTACTACAGTAATTGACAGTAATTGAAATCTATTGATGTAAATTTGAAATGGATATGTTGATTCTTTAGGGACAGACATATCTTGTTTGACACTTGAATTGCTATAAACTTGAAAATAAGTTGTTTAATATGCTTTAACTTTGGAAGTGAACACATTGTATTTTCTAGATAGTGCAGGTTATTGACATTTCAGTCAGTAAAATAAATAATTGATACTGAGAAATCTATCGGAAGTAAATTGAGGTGTTTTTTTTATTGTTAGTGGAATTATTTATTGTCAGTAATCAAGTCAGTGATTTCTCCTTGGTCTCTTTAATACAGACAACAACATCACAGTTTTAATCACTGAAATCCTTGGTAGGGTCAGAAGAACCAGACTATTGTACTATTACTAACGCATGAGAGACAGATCCTGTTCCTACGATTCATAGTATGAGGATACAATTTCCTGATCCTAGTGTACAGTTTTATCATTTTTTTAATCACTGCTTAAATTCACAATTAACAATATGGTTCCTGTTTTATATGAATGTTTTGTAGGGTCCAAAAAGTCGTTTTTTTCCATTTTGAATGTTTGAAATTTGGATAGTAATGATGTTCAAGATCTTAAATTACAGCTGCCTACATGATAGATTTTGTATTAGATTTCTGTGGAACTAACCAGCCATGTTGATCTTGTAAAATTAACAAGCCATTCAACCAAGTATGATCTGCGGTGTCATGGAAAATTTTCCGAAAAAAGCATGAAGTCAACATTGTAATGAACATTTTAAATCACTTTCATTACATAAATTGAATTTTGTCAATATGGTCAATGACATGAAATGAGATAACGATGTTTGTCATCTCAACAAAGTATATGTACAAAGCATTATGGGAAGAACATTTAAACATGAAATTTCTATATACTAGTACTGTGGATGCCCCTAGCACTAGGAGCTGCAGTAGTAAATATACCTATCATTTTTAGGGTCTCATTGAAGTTATGCTGCCTAAAAGTCAAGAGACAAACAAACAAACTTGGACTCAAAGTCAAGGGGTTTTTAGGACATAAATGTTGAAAATGGCACTAAACAGACATAGATAAGGATAGGTGGCTTATTTCCTGAGAAATAAGGTAGAGAAGATGTGGAAGGCAGTTACACTTATTTAGTTGTCAATGATGTGATGTCTAAAAATAACCTCACCCTAAGCTACTAGATTTGAGAAGAAACACCAAAAACTACAATTATCCATCATCCAGTAATAAGCCCAGATATTATCCGTTGTTAAGACCACCCCTACTTTGAGGCAGAGATTATCCAGTGATAAGCCCATCCTCTTCATTGAAGCAGAGATTATCGAGGAATAAGCCCATTCTCTTCGTTGGGGTAGATTTTATCGAGTAATAAGCCCACTCACAACATTAAGACAGAGATTATCTAGTAATAAGTCCATCCTCTTCATTAGGGCAGAGATTATCGAGTAATAAGCCCACTCGCTACATTAAGGCAGAGTTTATCCAGTGATAAGCCCAGTCTCCTACTTTAAGGCAGTGATTATCCAGTGATAAGCCCACCCTCTACATTGAGGTAGACATTATTGAGTAATAAGCCCATCCTCTTCATTGAAGCAGAGATTTTTTCCAATGATAAGCCCATTCTACTTTGAGGCAGAGATTATCCAGTGATAAGCCCACCCTCCTACTTTGAGGCAGAGATTACATACCTTGACCTGTACTAATTATTGGATAAAGATGGTAACTAGAATATGGTATTAGAAGACAGTTTGTTACACTTAACATAGTTAGAACTGAATGAAATAGATAGAAT